TTACTACGCTGCCGGCGCATCTTGCAAGGCGCAAAAAACAAATGTTTTATGTATAGAATCCAAAAAGATTTTGCAGTTAACGAAAAAATTTGTGAAAGATTTCATAGAACTTTACTCGGATTTCAATCATTTCAGAGATTTCAATTGGATTTCAGAGCATTTCAGTCGGATTTCATGGATTTTAAGGATTTCAACAGAAGTAAGGATTTTAGTCAGATTTCAGCCAGATTTCATCAGGATTTCATGGCGAGATGTACACCGGATTTCAAAAGTTGTGAACCCCTCGTCTTAAGACGCCAATACAGCTTTGCGATTGGTTGAAAACACATTGAGAGCATACTTAAGTTGATCTTAAATATAAGAACGGACTATGAATACCGGCCTTAGTGAGGAAATTTTGTAGTTCTTGTAATGGCCACTAGCGTTGCAGTTAGTGGCCATTACAACGCTAGTGGCCATTACAAGAACTACAAAATTTCCTCACTAAGCGACCTACCCCTACCATCGAAAATTAGAGGCAGTCGGGAGACCTGTATACAAGACCGTGGATTAGTCGATTTGTTAGGTCGAGCGGCTAGGTAACAAATGAATATAATTTGTTGGATCCAAAGATAAGAACCAATCACATTCAATTACTATTTATCCAGCGAGCGATTCTCTAACTCACTACTGAATACATTGGGAGTGTTCAAGACGGACAAAGCGACTGAAGCGGCTCTAGCTCTAGCCTGCTCGCTGAGCGGTTGAATGTGATTAATTGGATCTACAAAAAAAACCAATCATATTCAATCGCTCGGCGAGCAGGCTAGCTTTTTTGCCATTTTGAACGCGCTTATTCATATACATATATGTATATGTATAGTTATTTTGGCAAACGTACTATCTCTATCTCTCTCAATCTTAGGGCAACTTTCACCAAGCTCCGGTTAACCCAACCGGTCTAGTAACATGCAGGATTGCAACCGAATCTGATATATTTTCTCAGATTTTCATCAGATTTCTCATCAGATTCGGTTGCAATCCTACATGTTACTAGACCGGTTGGGTTAACCGGAGCTTGGTGAAAGTTGCCCTTAAACTGTCAACTTCATCATGCTGCGACATGTTATAATATATTAAAAGTGTACGAATGTCGATCTAGATATGTTGTTGAATATTGCATGATTGCAGAACAAAGTTGCAAAAATTATTTATCATATAAATCACTAAAATACAAAATTATTTTATGTGATTGAAATATATAAAAACTGATACTGATTGTATAAGAACTGATTCTTATAAAGTATTATAGCTTTCGAAGTTTATTGTAAAAAATATAAAAAATTTACCATAAAATAATAATAAATGTATAATATTATTGTCTACATGATTGAGAAAGATCAACTTATTGTTCAAACTTTCATATTTAATGTTATCTATATATTAAGTTCTTATAGTTTATTATAGCAAATACTGCTTTTATAGAGTATTATAGCTTTCGAAGTTTATTGTAAAAAAATATATTAAATTTATCACAAAATAATAATAAATGCATAATCTCATTGTCTATGATTGAGAAAGATCAACTTATTGTACAAACTGTCATATTAAATGTTATTAAGTTCTTATAGAGTATTATAGCAAATACAGCTTTTATAGAGTATTATAGCTTTCGAAGTTTATTGTAAAAAATATTATAAGAAATTTATCATAAAATAATAAATGCATAAGCTCATATTGTCTATGATTGAGAAAGATCAATTTATTGTACAAACTTTTATATTTAATGTTATTAAGTTCTTATAGAATGTTATAGCAAATACAGCTTTTATAGATCGAGTATTATAGCTTTCGAAGTTTATTGTGAAAAAATATTATAAGAAATTTATCATAAAATAATAAATGCAAATCTCATATTGTCTATGATTGAGAAATATCAGATGATTATAAAAACTTTCATATTTAACATTATTGAAAATAATGATATTATAAAACATTATTGAATTACATTGAAAGTCTATGTATTACGACATTGGTGAAAGATTCGTCATATTACTTAACATTGATATTCTTTCCATTTCTATGAGATCCGTTCATCTTCTATCTATCATTTTAAGCAGGGAATACGTTAACTTAGAGTTATCAAATTGCTAAACAAATATAGTCACCCAGTAGACGTCTTATAGATATCTAAAAGAGGTTATTAAAATGGAATCTAAACGGCATCAATCAGTAATATCTTAAAGATATTATTTATAGGTTATATGGAACAGGTGCAGATAATAAAGCATGCAGATAATAAAAGTTTATTACCTGAAATACGGATGCACGTAATATGAAGTTAATAATTATCTAAAATTATTTGTATATATATACAAATAATTTTAGATAATTATTAACTTCATATTACGTACATCCGTATTTCAGATAACAAACTTTATTACCTGCAGCTCATCTCATATAGATATACACTCTATTTAAAAGAATAAAAATGTTTTTATTATTATTATTATAAATATGATAAATATATCAAAACATGTTTCCTTGAAATTTTTCACGCAACTGCCGTTATGAATGACAAACTGTTCTCATTGTGCCTGACCAGTTCTGATAAACAATTATAATTGTATGCGCAAACTGGCAACCGGCAGCCAAACATGTCAACAACTTTCATTGGCAGATCCAGTCCACTGGATAGGTATGAAGGCACACACCTAAGTCTGCGCTAGCTAGTATTTTGGGATAATCCTCATTCTCAAACCACGGCATCTTTATTGTGATATGTTTGCACTTTGTTAAATTAATGATTGCCATGTAGAAGTCCTTTAACGGTCCTTTGCCTGTAATCGCACAGACCAAGTCCGGCAAGTTTAACTCGCTAGTTATGCACGCGTTTTCGTACTCAAAGGCGCTTAATAGAATTGAGAAATCTTCATCCTCGGTCCAACTAGTGCTGGATATAACGAAGCCGGATCTTCTGGGTGAACTGGGTATCGATATGTCGTACTTTTCAGTTAATTTGTGCAGAAACTCATTTTTCTCTGTCAAAGTTATTGGGTGAAATTCATCCGCTGGTCTGTCATACAGGATTTTTGCTTGAATAGTCCATTTCTTTTCCAAATCTTCCTTCATCGCTTTAGTGACGCAGAAATTATACTTTGCTCTGCAGCCAAACGTCGTCTCGATAACTCTTGCAAATCTAACCAGGGCATGATCCTGTCCCAGGTTCAGTGCCATAAGCAAATGGGCATAATTATGCCAATCAATCGTAAACTGCGCCTTCATTAGCACACAATAAAGCCAGCATACCGGGATGGTTGGTATCGCGGATGGATTCTGCGTTATCAGCGAGTTTGATATGCGTTTGCGAAGTAACAGCCATGAGAGATCAGCCGTTTGCCATACCACTTTTATAATGTAACAGAGAAGACGTGGCAATCTGTTCTGCAACCCCGGAGGCGGTCGCAGGTAGTGAACTCGTACGCGCTCATTTTCGCTTATTTTCTTCGACGGCGATGAGCCGGGGTAACCTACAACATCCACGGTGAAGCCCTCCCACGCGATGGAGATCGCGTAGTACTGCATTCGCGGGCTTCTGCCGATGTCACCGAGCAGCAGCACGCAGACATTCTTGGTGGACTTGAATTTCTTCAGGTAGAGTTTACGAACGAGAAGAAGAACCAGCGGGAGCAATAAGAGTGTTAACATCAACATTGCGTATGAGAACGACGGAGAAGAACCTTATTATAAATATATTAGATAATTAGATTATAATTATTCTGGGGCTTTAATTGTTCTGGAGATGTGCACGTTGTCGTCGTTTATCTACAGCCACTTTGGCTGCTTTTATTCGATCGCCCCCACGGCGAAGCCAGTCGGCAATCCGATCTTCAACAGATTTAATTGTTGCTCCGGAAAATGTGTTACGTACACAATCTGAAAACGTTGAGAAATATTACGAGATCAACATCACGAGACATAGTAACTCCTTTATGCCAAAGAATAACTCAACAAGACGATTTCACGTAACATTTGTCGACGTTGTTGAACATCTTGATTGATTATTGCAAAATATATGGGGTTTCTATCATAATTCTAGAAAATTTCTATCAATCCAATCAATATATCCAGCAACGCCAACAAAGTGAAAATTAAATAAAATTTCAACTTAAAACCGTGAATATGTAACATGTGTGTGTATATATATGGGG